TCCCTTCTATGAGCATTCGCCAGCGAGACTCAATGCTGCCCAAAGTGTCACCAACCATCCTCGGCTGTCGTCCAAATGTCGCCTGGTAGGGAGAGAAGCCACTGTCATTCACATCTTGATTGTAGGGCGCCACAGCCTCACTCAGAGCACGTTGAAGCTCCTCAGCACCAATCACAGAATGTGATCGAATGACAGCAGTCAGAATCGCTTTGAGTGTGCTGCCAGATCTCTCTGCCACACCGTTTTGCCATGGGGCTTGTACTGCAATGTGGTGCAGCATTGTGGACACTGAACTTGCCCACTCTTCCATTTCCCAACTCACGAACTCTCTGCCCTGATCTGCCACCAGTACTCGGGGAGCACCAAACATGGCCAACCACCTTGAAGTCAAGAACTGAATCACTGACTTGGAGGACTTGTCCGGCAGAACCTCAGCAACCTGAAAACGTGTTGCAAAGTCCGTGGCATGGGCAACATAGAAACGTGTTTCTGCAGCATCTTCTATCTCCAGCAGGTCAACGTGAACTTGATCTGAGATGTCCTTTGGAGTCGGCAATGGTGCTGGTCTCCTGACTTTCGGAGGTGCACGTTCTTGACAAAGAGAGCACTTGTGGGCTTTGGCAGCAGCTATAGCTTCCACAGGAGCACCTGCAACTGCAAGAGCTCGAGCCAAGCGACGATTGCTTCTGTGGCCAGTGTTCTCATGTAGGCGCTTGATGGCATTCTTCAAGGAAGGACTGATCTTGAGGTCAGTCTACCATGATCCCCTCCACCAAGGCGCGTGCCAGCGGCTTTGGGTAAATGCCCGCATGGTCACGCCTGCAACGAAGGCCATCCAACAAAGCAATCACACTGGGGCTTGAACTCACCAGCTGTGTGGATTTTCTATGCAACTCACAAGGCTGCGAAGGTTGAACCGGCATTGGTCAAACACTGCTATTTCCACATTGCGCTCCTCGATGAACTTCTGCATGGGGAGTGTCTTCCATGCTAAACTCGGGAGCGGGTTCTCCATGATGAAGTGTCGACCACCTTTCATCTGCAGCTTTGCGACTTCAATCGCAAACTCCATCAGGACCAAACCATCAGCTTGACGTTGATCCAAGGAAGTCAATCCTCGAGTGTTGAAGTACTGTAGTGGACTGAAAGGCCCACATGGAAAAGCAAGCACCACGCAGTAAGGCTTCTCCTCCTCCAAAACCTTCAATGCCCGGCTTCGGTGCTCAGCCAAAAGGAAGTTCCATCCATTGTCCAACGACATAGCCGGACCCACCTTGTGGCCTCTTCGTTCAGCCTCTCGCATGACATTCTGCGAAGTGGTGTAGACCTCAGACACAAGGGACCGCTCCTTGTCGGGGGGCTTGACATTCTTGGAAATCAAGACATTCTTGGGCTGGCTCTCATTCTGAAGGGCCTCAAAACCGGCAAGAACCTTGTCACCCGGAAGACACAATTCAAACGGTTGGAAGAAGGTCTCTTTTCGGTCATGAAGTCCAACATCTCCTTCTCATGGTCAGCCACCAGCAACTCTTTCATCTGCCTTGGAGATTGTGACGCTTTCTTCCGATCTTGTTCATGCTGACTCCAGGCTTGAGCGACCAGTTGGGCTTGACCAGGTTTCAGATCTTGGTGAAGTCTGAACTCATGAGGGCGGGGGTTCACATCCCTGCTCCGTCCCTGAGACCCAGACGGATCTCCTGCGTCACTTCGGCCGGAATGTCGTCCCCGAACTGAGCAGTCAAATTGGCTCCGTGCAGCTCCTCGTAGGCTTGACCATTCAATTCCCGAATTTCGGCCTCGGTGAAGTTCACGGGTGATGCATCCTGAGGCGAGTCTGGAATCAGACTTGGCTCTGAACTGAGATCCACCTCCATCTCCGGAGTCACTTGTGAGCGCAGCAATGCCAGCTCGCGAGACATCTGCTCCATCATAGCCCTCATCTCTTGCTGCTGAACTGCCAGCTTCTTGGGGTTGTCGTGAAACAGCCTGGCGGGCGGTGAGGAAGAGCTCGCTGAAATCTCTTCGGCCGTGTTGGCCTTTGCTGGGCTTACCGCTGGCTTCTTGTTCTTGAGGATCTCGATCATAGGCTTCACCTTTTCTTCGATCTGAGCCACGGAGTCTTTCTCGCCCAAATCCACATGAAACAAAGCAGCCAACTTCACCAGATCGGCTCGAAGGGTAGGAAGACCTCCTCGTGGGCCAATGAGTGCCCGAGCCTCTTGTTCTCGACTTCCGTCGGCTTCTGCTTTCTTGGCCAGCTCCTTGGCTTCCTTCTGAGCAGCACTCCTCAGCTTGGCTGCGATGCCCTTTGTCTGCGCTGCCATCATTCCTGCCAGGACGGGATCTTCGATGAACGATGTCCTGAGCCCCACCCGGTTGCGAAGGTGCCGACATTCTGCCAAGTTGCTCATGGTGAACAGGTTCTTCTCCAGGCAGTTCTTGAGGTACCTTGGAGGGATAGTTCCATCGGAAACCTGCTTGCGCACCTGAGCCAACCAAGCTGCTGTCGTGGTAGTTGAGGGATAGGGCAATGGCAGATATCGCAAGTAGGGCCTTTGCAAAAGCCAAAGGAGCAATCCTTTTGCTGCCCAGCGAAACCTTTCTCCCATGCGGAGGTACATCCGCTTCCATCTTCCGACCTTCACCTCCATGTTGGCGCTCTCGCCTCCCAAGAGGTTGCCTGCAGTCATCCATCCGCCGAACATTGGAGGGTGAAGTAGTCAAGGAAGAGGAACTCGAATTTCGATCAGTCGTCCCTTCCGGCTCCATGGACGCACCTTGAGCTTGAACCGATGAGCCAAAAACATCAGGTGAGCGAAGAACTGCACAAACCAAATGGCCCACCCGTACGCTCTGCTCTGTCAGGAGGTGGTCATGTGAACTGCTCTTCAAAGACGAACCAAATTGGCACCAATGGCAGGAGGAAATGACCTGCAGCCAGCTGCTTCAAGGCAATCGGCTTGCCAGTGAGGTGTTCACATCGAAGGGTGCGATGGGCAAAATGCATGTCAGCTCCAATTGCTTCTAGAAAATCACGACCTAAAAGCAACCCCAGTGAAGGAACCGGCACCAATGAAGTCCAAAAACAAATGATGGAGCCATCTAACTGCATGGGGAGGCGCCACCGTGCAACACTGACCTGGGTTCCACCGTTGCCAAACTTGAAGGTCTCATACTCCTTGTGGGATTTGACCAAACCACGAACTTCTTCGGGGGCATCTCTCAGGCAACGGAGGTAGTTGTTGAGCCACTCTGTCCCAGTGCACGTGCGGTTGCAAGCTGAATCAAGGGCTCCAACAAGCATTTTGTCGGCAGAGAGCTTGCCAGCAACATTCACCTCTTGTGGATGGAGGTGAGACTGTTCAAAAGCTGCCACGAACTCGTTCGTCATGGGGAAGGCTCCAACTGCCAAAACTTCATGGCCCCACCCCTGATTGCCGTAGCAACCATCGAGCTGCCAAGTTGTACTTGGTCGTTGAGGCCAAATCTAAGGCCGAGCACCACCAATCCATCTCCCGCTTGAATCCTCGCCATGTTGGGACGCGAGCCCATGCGCCGCCATTTCCATCCTTCTCGTCCGACATGATGCCTAAGGCAAAGACAAGGACGAAATGGAGGTCAAGGATGTAGTGAGACTTCTTTCAAGCACTGAGCGGCAAAAAGGTGAATTCGGACCACCAGCCGTGAAGGTTCCTCCTGCGCCTGCGGGAGTACAACAAGTAGCGGGGTCCAGGCAAGGTCACAACTTCGTCCGCCGAGATCGATGCAAGGGTGAGGAAGCAAATCACCCGCAGCAAACTCAGAGGGGAGCGTGGCCACAATGCAAAGCAAGTCCACGGAGTGCAGCGCAAGCAAGCCAGGGCGCGTGCCCAACAACAACAGCTCAACACCCACAGGTGATGGACCGCCAAGGCTCCGGTGCCACTGTAGCAGGCCGTCGCACAACGAGCCAGCAAAGCAAATGGTTTTCCGGCGAAAGGCTAGTCGCGTAGTCTAAATGGCTTTAGGCCTTTGAGAGAAAAATGACCGGCGAACATGTGGCCATTCTCAAGGCACAACGGATTCCATGTCAATTGCTCACTTTCACAACTATAGTAACAAAAAGCTACGATCGGGGCTCCTGGCCGTACTAGGAGCGATCGGACGCTACGAACGTAGCTCCTGGATGCGTTTTTGTAAATCATCCAAGACACTTCGCTTCGGTGGGGTCTGGCAAGGTGATTGTCAGCTGCCTGTGGCTGCGGTGGCATCCCCCTAATAGCGATGGCCTCCGGTCCTAAGAGCGATGGCCTACGGTCCAACCTAATGGGACATGTGTGACTTTGTCAATTCTAGGTGACTTCTTCTCCGTTTGAGGAAGCATCAGGAACATGATGTGGCTCGGTAATGGGGGTGCGTGACAAAAAACTCCGTGGCCATATGCTCCCAAAGTGCTCAAATGGAATTCTGGAATTCTGGTAGGTGGAGCTTTCAAGGAAACAGCTTTGAACAAGAAGGTAACTAAGGCCCACCTGAAAGGACATGGACTTGACACAGTATATTAATCGAAAAGCTTTCTTTTGACAAAGAGAGATGGAAAGGACAGAGACATAATCTATCTATCTATCTCAAAGGTTCAAACAAACAAAAGACCAAGCAGCTGAAAAGACACAACACCCTTCACAAACAAAATCTTTGTTTCAAATGGCTTCTTGTCGCCTTGGAGACTGTGGGGCCTCGACATCAGCCTGGGATCAGTGGCCGGATTCCACATCAATTACTGAAAGAAGGTGAGCATTCTAAAAGGTATGGGTAGAGCAAATAAATGTTGGAAGAAGAGCATTGTGCCCTACATGTCTAAGTTTAAGAATGCGATCCACTTCCCAACCCAATCATTTATCCAAGCACAAAGGTTTGCACTATTGCCCCTTCCCGCTCATCATTTTGCTCTCGGCCACAGGCGTCCCGTGTCTTTCTCAGCTTTCAGCAACATGAACTGGTAAAGGGACGCCCCTCTGCCATCACAGAAAGACACACTGGCAATCTCTGCGGAAGCTCTTCTTTGCACCACCTTAGAACCGTCTGCAAAGTCTCACCAAAAACTTAATTACACATCATCTTCGCATGAGCAGCTGGCCTGTCTTGCCACCCTGGACGTATGATTGCACAGTACAAGAAGCATCATGAACGCCACTGGGGTCATATAGGATTCACTATGCAAATCACGCCGCGCCTCAATTTTTGCAAGAACAACCTCAATGCACACTTCCAGCTCCACTTCATGAAAGCAACATGCCGTTGAAGCTTTTCATGTTTTTCTCACAACCTAAGGCCTAAGGCCCATGCCAATTTCTCAGGAATTGCCCATGCATCCCAATGCCTATCCTCCACAAGGACCAAATCCTCCTGAACATCCATGGGGTGTCGCGCACCCAGACAGACACTCCTAGCAAAGACGGCTCCTTCTCTTCAATCCAGTTGATAGTCACAAGCCTGTGAACATACGGTCGCATCTCTTCCTCAGCTTGACGGACATGGCAAGTTCAAAGTCAACAGTGTCCTGGGATAGCTGTGTGACACGGTTTGACATGTTTGATATCCAAGAGACTTCTGATTGGTTGAGCTTGTTCCCAAACCTCCAGTAAAGAGGCTCCACAGTCACAACAATATAGCGGTCACAATCTTGGGCAAAACAGTTGAACTCAGAAAGCCCCGGTTATTTCTAGTAGATTGGAGGCCATCCCTATTAGGTTGGAGGCCATCGCTAGTAGGTTGGAGGCCATCACTATAAAGTTGGAGGCCATCGCAAGTAGCTTGAAGGCCATTGCTACCAGGGTAGAGGCCATTTCCACTAGGGTGGAGGCCATTGCTATCAGTTAAGTGTCCCTTAAAATGGAACCCAATCATTAAGCCTGAGCCCTTCTGCGTCGCCGAAGAAGCTTTAAGCGTAGTACTGCGACTTAACTATATATATATATAGAGCTACTACTTACCGGGTTGACTGACAATGGCCTGTAAGCATGTCACGATTGACTCCTTCCTGCGGCAAGTAGCTCGGTGAAGAGTTGATACACTTCGCAATCCCTGGGTTTGGCAGCCTGAGCGTTACGAAATTCGGTTTGGCAGCCTGAGACGTGGCACAGATTCCGAGATTGACACTGCCCTTTGTGCTAGGAAGGCCGGAATGGTGTTGGGACCTGTGCAATTGACGTCGATCCTATTGTCGATGAGGACACAAAACAACTAGTAACTAGAAATAACATGGGTGGCCATTCTGGGCTTGCTGCTGGTCTCCACGATTTTCGCCAAGAACGAATCAGCAGGTGGTGCACGTTGTTGTGGGCCTAAGAATCAAAGTATGCAAGGCCTGTGAAAGCCCATCGCTACTATAGGGTGGAGGCCATTCCTATAAGGTTGGAAGCTACTAGGTTGGAGGCTATCGCTACTAGGGTGGAGGCCATCCTATGCAAAGCCCTGTAAGTTCCAGCATCAAGGCCCGAGCCACTCAGACCTTCGGCCTTCTCACGGGCTTTTCGTGCACGCCACCTTTGCAAAGACTGGCATAGAAATGCATCATCTGCACAATGAAGCAAGAACAAGGGTTGATGCTATCCTTCCACTCAAGGCGGGTGTAGCACTGCTGGCGTCTCACCATCTGTTCTCCGCATGGAAGGCCTGGCGACGCCCTTTTTGAGAGACTCCTTTGCCCTTTTCTCCCGGGTCTCCTGTTAGCCAGGCTGTCGGACCCAAGACCAAGATCATGAGACATTTCCTGCATGGGCCTCCAACCTACTAGCGATGGCCTCCCACCTAATAGGGATGGCCTCCACCCTGCACATTCCGGATATTTCACATTTCGCAGGGTTTTCCAACAATTTCCTTCAGCTCCCACAAGGACAATGCTTCTAGAGAGAGAGAGAGAGAAAAAAAAAAAGAGCTCAATCCATGATGTCATCAAGAATAAAACTAACATGCGCCGTTGCATGTTAGAACGGGCTTTCTTTGTTTTGTAAGGATTGCGATCATCCGACTTTCTTGCACGAACTCATTTGTGCATGGGTTTTTAGTGCATTTTGTTGATGTCTTGCCTGACCCCAAATTGTAGCAGTGTGTTCAGCATGTTGGATAGACTGTGTGCACCCCCTCGGCGTGTTGACATTCATCAGTTGCGTCTTCTTGGGAACGGTTCTTTTCTTGGGAACGTGAATTTGGTCCAACGGAAAGATTGGGATGATTGTCTCGAAACATAGAATCATATGCACATATTCAAACGAATATTCTCAGATCATCGCTATGATCTTTGTTTTCTTGTGAAACCACCCGGACTTGCTACCGACGTGTCTGTTCTCCTGAGATTTGCCAGCGTCCGGCTTGAAGAAGTCCCCGTCCTCACGGGCACGTGGGGGGAACGAAGCACAATTTGTCACACGAACCACATGACCACGCTGGTTTACCAGCTGGCTCCCACCCTCAGCATGATAACTTATAAACATGAGCTCCTCAACCCATGACAGAACTTGATCTTCCTGGAGACAAAGTCCGAAAAACAACAAACTGGAATCAATTGGATTGCTCGATTTAGTTGCTTGAAGCTATATGTAGAACTTAGAGCACGAGCACGAGCTCGACATGTAAAAGCCAGAAGCAACATCGATTCAGGGCGCGGACAGTGATCACTGGCTTCCTGCACAGTGAAGATGGTCGATCCAAAGCATTTAATCATCATTGCTTCAGCATTTTCAAAGAACCATCTTGGGCCTTGCACGCTGTTGCTGCCTTGGTGGAGATTCCACAGAATTGGCGGCATCAAAAGGAGAATGGCAAGGCTCCTTCTTGCATTCATTGACTTGCACCAGTCTTGTGCACAGCCAGGGAGGGTGGTATCTACAAGGTTCTAGCTAGCTCGAAAGTTGTCGACTGTTTTGACCAGTCATGTCATGTGACATTGTGGAACCTCATCTCAGCTTCGGTTTTAGCTGAGGGAATTAACTCAAGCCTGACAGGAGCAAGAACTGCATTGATGTGCTGCCATTTCTTCTCTTTATCTTCCTTTCCTTCTCCGTTCTGGAACCTCATACTGCTCACCATGTCGGTCATACTGCTGCCCAAATGCCGATGTCGGAACCACCGTTGCAAACGCTTGGCTGCCCAGGTTCGAGGCTGCCGGCGCCTAGTCTCAACCACCAAAGCAACCAATGAGAAATCACCGCATACCAACCTAAGAGCGATGGCCTCCAACCTACTATAATCTACTATAATCACCGCACAGCAGCCAAAAGGTGCACACCACACATCAAAAGCACATGCATTGCTGAACCGCTTTCCTAGGCTCAAGACTTTTCAGCATCATCCCTGAGTTTGCTGAACCTACAAGGAGTAAATGGTGTGACAAGACACTTTGCAAGTTTGGTGCCAGCCGTTGATTTGAGTGGTGTTGAGCTCAGGGCGTGATAGAAGGAGTAAGGTAGCTCTGCATGGTCGGTCGCAAGGTGTAGTTCACATACGCATTGAAGTCTTAGATTGAAAGCTCGCAGTTATGGTGCTCAAACTGCATGAATGGTAGGAGGATAGGGAATCATGAAGTATTCCAAAAGCCCGGATGCTATGAATTGCCGGTTGTTGCCAGGGGAGGACACCAATCTTCAGGTGTCTGCCGCCGGGGATCCATGAGCTCCTTCGTCTGCCTCCTCAAGAGGTGATGAATGGTGGTAACAGGCATCGCGGCATCACACATAGAATTAGGATCATCGCATTTTCACTATTGGATAGATATATGACACATATTTATATATATATATACAATAGTGAAATCAATCAGCTCAGTGGATCCAATAGGATCATTCCACCATAGGATCCACCCGAGAAATCACTAATGGTGGATCAATCAGCTCAGTGATTTTGTCACATGTCTCCTTTCACTGAGCTGATTTTAAAAAAGAACGCTCTGGCTCTTTCAAACTCATTCTGTTCAAAACACCAATGGGCTTGTCGCCGAGGAGCATTTTCCGCCAAGAAATCGTAGATCTCATCAATCCTGAGATCTAGCGGTAGCGGGAACACAAAGCCATATCCAAGTTTAATTCAACGAAAAGTTCGAATACTTCCAGAACCCTTTCTATCCATTCCTTTGAAACTACGCGGCGCAAACGCTTTCATCTGCTTCTGCTTTGCTGGCTTTGCTCACCATGTCGAGAGGCAACTTCAAGGGGACTCCCCAGCTTTCCAGCCGATGCTGCGGAACGTAACGCAAATCCTCCACCTGAGGCATGTGACAAAAAAGCTAGCATATGTGGAACTCAGTCAAGTTTCAACAGCCAAAACCTGTAAAGCTTCAAAAAACATGAAAGAGTTTATGATAGCTTTCCGTACAGTGTGCCTATTTGCCGCTATTCTTTTTCCTCCTTCTTTCCTTCTCGTACTCTCTCTCTCTCTCTCGCCCTGTGCCTCTGCATCACTCGTCTTTATCATTTGTTGAAGTGTCCTTGCCCTAATTAGGTCCTAGCCTCCTACAACTTCGCCGCCGACAAAAACGCACACAAACAAACACAGACTCTGTCTGTCCCACCTTTTCCAACCAGTGTTCACCAACCAGCTTCTTGATCAAAGTGCCTGCCTAGATGCTGCAGCTGAACAATGCCTAATAAACCCTTTTTCATTTTTGTAGTTCATTGGTGTGGAGGGGTTAGGGGTTTGGGGTAGCTAGTTGCAGTAGTTAGCTAGTTTTAGCGCCACAACTGGAAGAGCGCTCGCTGCAAGGAACGGCTCCGACAGCTTTGGAAGGAACACGTGCAAGAACCATTGCGTGCGAGGTGCGCAAGCATCCTTCCTCGGCCCCACGTCCCTCTTGGCGATGCCCTTTTTTGCTCCTAGTAGCTTCTTGTTCCTAGTAGTAAGGCCAGGAGCGCCCCTAGTAGCGTCCTTGTTCCTAGTAGCGATGCCCTTTGTTCCTAGTAGCTTAGGATCCATGAAATTCTTCCACGAACCGATCTTTGGTGCCACGTGCAGCTTGGAAGCTGAAGCTCCGAACAAAGAGTCTTGATCAAATCCTGGCGGAGCCAAGGCCCAGTCAGAAACCTCCGTGAGTGAGGAGACCTTTAATTAAGACCCTCATGCCCCCCCAGGTCGCTATAGCATTGGTTCTCTTTGCTTCACACCTGATCTGTGGATAGAAGTGACCAACGACCTCTACATGCACACAAGGCCCTCAAAAATATACCCAAGGAGATCCAGCCAAAGAGGAAAATCGCCATGCCTTCAGGCCTTCGACTTTTGTCTCGCGACGCAACTCTGTGACTATTTGCAACTTCCCTCTCATCTCACTCTCGAGGTCTTTCGCTCAAGGTCTCCATGGTTCTGCTCTCGCTGGATGAGAATGCTCAGCTGGACGAGAAACTGATACCAAGCTACTTCTTGGCGGGCTTCCCCCGCTCCTCAGCTCACCAATGCACGCACGAGGGTGGGGAGAGGGGGGGGGGGTGAATCAAAGTGCTACTACAAACATAGCAGAAGGCCTATAGGCCTATAGGCCTTGCCACACTTGCCTCATTTTCCTAGCCCCTCTCAACACCATGGCCCCCAAAAAGACTGGCTCCATTCCGCGGCTCGTCTGCGCCGGCAATGTCAGCATTCTTGGATTGGATGCCCGCAAAAAGCAAGGGCAAAATGAACGCAGCTAGCACAAAGGTCAATGTCAGAAAGATCATTATATTCGCAGGGCTTTCTGGCTCTTCTTCCGGCCTGTGCAACTCTCCAGGGCTCTTTTGGAACTAGCTCCATCCAAGTCCAATTAATTCCAAGTGTACATTCCTTCGCCAAGAATTCCCTATCTATCTAATGATCTAATGTTTCACGGGAACAATCCATGCATTCCAAGCCAGTTCTCCGAAATCGGCAGCTACGAGTAACCTCTGCGCATTCATCCAAGCGCGGCCTGTAGGGCTCTGTCATGTCGATCTCTGCAAGCAGCAGTTGGGTGGCCGCCATCTGCGCAGCTGGGGCCGCGATCTGCGGCATCGGCGCCAGGAATGCGCAGCCGGCTGCGCTCAAGAGCAGGAAGGCCAATCCGCCAGCACGCCGTGCCTCGAAGCGTGGCGTGCTGAGTCATCTGAACGGAGGGGGTCATCCAACCTAATAGCGATGGCCTCCAACCCGCATTTTCACATCTTAAGGCTTCATGATTCATAACATTCAAATGTCAGTGTTTGTTGTCACTCATTCAGGCCGAGTATTGCCAAGCCGCCATTGTGAGACAGGCGATTGGATTATACTTCTTGTGCCCAAAGATGGCTGCGGGCGACCTTCATCACATCAAACACAGCACAGCTTGCCCTTTCAAGCCACCGGAAAGAATGATACAGTGCCTAATGCCGCAAATTCTGAATTGGCCCAGTATTGATAGTAAGTTGATTCCTTTAGCCATTGCACTGTTTTTGCAGCAAAATATTTTTTGAGCTTCACTGTCGCACATGAACCCATCACGAGAGATTGGATTCTTGTTTAAGTTTCAGTTTGGCGAACCCTTGCACAAAATGCCGTGAACTATTTTGGAAAAGGAGCTACACAAACACACCTGAACCTGCGAAACCCTCTCTAGCTGTCCTTGGTCAGCTTCTGCTTGGTCATGGTGAAACCATCGCCATCCCTACTCGGCTGTGGTTGCAACAGCCAACGACTTAAGACTAATCAAGGTGCTACCGCTGCCACTGAACTACCAAAGCACCCTTGGGTGCTAACTTATGCCACTGTCAGCTTGCTAAATATGCTCAAATAAACACGGATTTTGCAGAAAACTGTCGAGCCAAAAATTGCAAAATACAACACAATTCACAGGCGGCGTGGTGCAGCATGACATGCTTCATAGCTGCAAGGCTTGAAGGTCAGTCTTGAGGAGTGGACTTCAGACAACTCCTCCTCCTGCTTCATGAGATCTTCCACAACCTGAGCGCATTGCGAATATTTGAGGCGAATATCAAGCGGCTGGATTGCACAAAAAACCACATGCTCCCGCAACTGCCACGTACCACTAAGACGTGCTGCAGCGCCAAAGCCATGCCAACACAACTATATAGACGGTCAAAAACTGGCACCTGATTGCATCTGTCATCGGTGCAACTCTATATAAGTGCTCTGGTGAAGAAACATGTGCCACGCGGACCACGCTCCGATGGTTCTTTTCGGACACAGCGGAGCAAGCATCTCCTCCATGGCATCAATGTCCGCCTGGCCATGAGGCGACGACGTGTCGATCTCTCTCTCTCTCTCTCTCTCCCTCTCTCTCTCTGTCTCTCTCTCGTTCCTTCCATTTTTTCGTTCGATAACTTATAACGAGAAGAAAAGGCGGAAAGAAAAAAAAAAGGAATTGGTAGGTATAAGCTATGTATAAGTTTTTTTTCCTCAATATCCTTTCAACAGCCGATTTGACAAAGCAATTCCGCCTTCAGGTTCACAAGGAGCACCTTTCTCTGTACCAGTTCGCGTTCGGCCGAAGCCCTCTTAGCTTCTGCGCGTCGCATCTCTCCTTCCGCTCTCTCCTTCTGTGATTGCATCGACGCATGGCGCTTGCGGAGCCGCTCCACATCCTCAGTCTCGAAAAGCGGCCTATGATGGCCTCCACCCTAAGCCCTACTAGCATACTACAAGTAGCAAGAAAACCAGCAATGGCCTTGTAGAAATGGTGTCCCAAGTCCTCCACACTCCTCCAAACACCAATGCTGGAAGCTGGATGAAGTAGATCAAAACAGTTCCTTCCTGAATCTTATGAGTGCATTGCTGCCCCATTGATCTTTTGATGAGTATTAGACAAGTACCAACTGCAAGTTCCTTTTCACAAATCATTTCAATTCCCAGCATCGCTGGAAATCTCATCATCCCTGGGTACTCTCTTCAAAGCTCTCTCCCGTTCTTTGCCGAGGTCGTTGATCACCTGCTTCAACTTGGCCTCTCGTACTCTAAGGCCTCGTTGATGGTGCTCCTCCATGGACGGGGGTGGCTTTGGAAGTGCCACGCTAAAAGCTTCGCTCTGCACAGGAGGCAAGGTTGAGGAGCTTGACATTCCAAATCCTGAGAACAAAGCTTTAAAAGCTTGAAGCCTTTTTTGATTTTTTGGGGCCTCGACTTTGTCGTGCAATGCAAGCGCTCAACGGAACACGGCTGTGGTGCTCAAAAGAGCTGTTCACACAGTACAAAACACATCATGGCAAATATTCGAAATTGCATTACTTGACAGTTGGCAAAACAAGTGTCCTGTCACGATACGGAAGCTGAGTGAAAAATCACATGTACCTGAAACCAGCAAATAACCTTCTGAGTAATCCCACTTGCGGCTTTATTGTCTCATGATAGTTACCTCGTTGTACATTTGTGCATACAAGTGTCACACACATAATTACACGTCTTGCAGTGAAGGTTCGAGACTGTTCGGATACCTCGGAAGCATCCTCCGGTGCTAGACCTTCTTGGCCTTCAGATTGCAAACCTTGTCGGACGTCTTCGCTTTCGGCTGGCTTGAGAATCTCCAAAGTCTTGTCCAACGTCTTGACCTGTCGACGCAAAGGCTCTTCCCGCGCTGAGTGCTTGTAGCCCTCCAGCAGGCAGGCACGTAAGTCTCTTTGCGATTCCATTTCCGCCGCGCAAATCTCGAAGTATTTCAATGATGCCGCCTGCGCTGCTCGCAGGAAGGAGGTGTGTTCTTTCTGCTGGTCGCACTCTGACGGTGGGATTGTGACAGCGGACGCGAATTCAAACCTGTCAACCATCCCATTTTAAAAAGGATGTCCCCACGTCACGCCTGGCAGCGAGCGTCCTCTTCTTGGGCCCTGAGAGAGCATGATAAAACAGAACCGAACAGCTCCTCATGGCGAGCCTTGTAGTTCTGCAGGACTTGGCCCACAGCTTCCACATAGTGCTTTTCAGCATCTTTTCCGGATCGGTTCTCCGCTTCTGGTGCTCCCAGTGATGGCCTCGGGTCGGCGAGAGGTTGAAGTCGGCCCTCTGAGATGTTGTCCATCTCCGGGACATCAGAGTCGGAAGTGTCGGATGAAATGGCCTCGGGCACAGGTGTACCCTCAGATCTCTCTGCTGTCTCGTCCTCATCGTCATCCAGGATTTTGCAGGCGCTTGGAATTTCTGGCGCTGGGAGTCCTTATGTGCTGTTTGGGGCAGTGTTGGTTAAAAACCACCACACAAATGAAACTGCCACGTCCAGTTTCTTGCGTTCACTTCTAGATTGGAGGCCATCGCTAGTAGGTTGAAGGCCATCGCTTCTGCAATTCCTAGGATCTGCTTCTTCTCTCAATGAATTGCAGAAATTGCCGCCACTCACAAAGTTGCACTTGTACAGTCGCTGGGCTCAATGCCTGGAACTGCGCTATGTGTTCCAAGACCAAGGGTAAATCCGCAAACGTTTGCCGTGCCATTCCTTCAACTCTCTCCACAATTCTCCAGAAATGCCTCGGTCCAAACATACAGGGCACGAGCTTGGTAGCAGCACGCTTCGATAGGACTTTCATGCGCTTCTTGTCGGGACTCAGAATTAATTAAACATTCTTTGCAAACACACGAACCAACATTCTTTGCTAATTACTAGTAACAAAAAGCTACTAGGGGCTCCTGGCCTTACTACTAGTAACAAGAAGCTACTAGTAACATAACATATGAACATATATGAACCTATCAATGTTTCTATACAGGTTCTGCTGCGGATCCCTTCACCTTGGATTCGTGGACCCTGTGGGGTTTCTTCAACTATCAACCGTGGTCAACGGCAGCGCCTTGCTGGTTTCATCTGCGAATTGTTGGCTGCGGCAGTTGCGACGCTCAATGCTTCCACTGCCTAGCAGCTTAGGGTTGGTGTTCTTCACGGCAACCATGTCTGTACTTTTGAAACACTGAAAAACACTTTCCTAAGCGTCATTGAGACTATGGTATGCCAAGGAAGGCATTGTTGTTCAAAGTTGCGGAGGAAAAAAACACGTTCCAAACGCAAAACCTTCTAGATGCAAGTTTCAGAAAAAAAACATCGGGAGTAGAGGCGAATATCAAAGACCTTGCCGATGCATTTTTGTAGAAACGTCTATTGGAAGCCAATGAGTTATTTCTGCACGGGTCCAATACGGCTTCTTTTGGCTGTGCTGAGCAATGTTGAAGGACACCTTGTTGCTTGTCAGAAGTTCAAAGCCCTTTGGCAGGCATTCTCCCTGTTGTGGAAGCAACACGTGCAAGTAGTCAATTTAAGCCATAAAGAAGAGTGCTAAGTATGTCTTTGAAGCTTCTTAGTAGTGTAGGTGACTGGCAGTTCGAATTCAACATGAGGAATCGGGAATGTGGTTAGAATATGAACATGTATTTCGCAGCTTCCATGAAACTTCCATGCACTTAGGATGTACACCAATGCACTTAGAATATACAAGACACATAGAAAACAAGAGTGGTACATCTTAGCTTCTCGATGATTCTCTGTTTAATGAGGTCCAGGAGGTGCCAACAAATAATGCATGCTTTGCCTACTATAGTAGAGCTGGTTGATGACTTACGTGATCCGTGCTTGTTTTGCATTGGGCAACATCACCCAGGTGTCGCTGGGAAAACCGCTGGGCACCGCTAGGTTTGCCTTTGCAGTATGGTCCCATGTGGTGCTCCTTTGGTGTGCGCAGTCCTTGTGCGTGCTCCTTTGGGCCCTGTGGAAGTCCTGTGAAATAGAGCAGGGGACAAAGACCAAACAGAGACAGCAACAAGAAGTATGGTCTTCTGTGGTGTTGATTCAATGGCCGTTCCACCATATTCTAACTGCATCGTATTCTATGTGCTATTTTTACCAGGTCTTTCTCAGTGAATTTGATCCTCATTCATGTTTTTCACTGATCTTTGTATATGCACCAGGAGGTGAAACCGTGGGATTTGGGGCTGTACATTCAGCTCTGGAAATGTTGGTGGGTGCGACACCAACCAAGTACCAACTTGCAGGCGCTCCACAAACCGTTGCTGTGACAGTAGGGAGCGCAACATGACAAGCTAAAAGGAACTCCTGCAGCAAAGGCTGCAGCATAGGATAGAAAACTAGACTCTTTGTATATTCTATCTCCTGGTCACTTACATACTGTAACTAGAAGCTACTAGATTGGAGGCCATGAGGCCATCGCTACGAACGTAACAAGCAAGCATCTCCCCTTCCTGGGGCATGTGTGTCATCGCCTGTCTGGGGCCTTGATTTGCAAAAAGGCGATCTAGCCCTTCACGGGCTCCAATGCCCACCTCACCTCGGATCATGCCCACCAAACGGGCCACACACCGGTGTACATGGGGTTCAGTCGAACACGGTGTTTCTGTCCCTGACAGTTTTTCGGCCTCTTTGTGGAGAACGGCCACTGGAGAAGGCCGAAAGAGAACCCTAGAAACGCCCGTTGCTCCTAGTAGTAAGGCCAGGAGTCCTAGTAGCGTCCTTGCTCCTATAGTAGTAAGGCCAGGAGCCCCTACTAGGAGCGTCCTTGCTCCTAGTAGTACGGCCAGGAACCCCTAGTAGCGTCCTTGCACCTATAGTAGTAAGGCAAGGAACCCCTACTAGGAGCCTCCTTGCTCCTAATAATAAGGCCAGGAGCCCCTAGTAGCTTCTTGTTACTAGTAGCGATGCCCTTAGTAGCGATGCCAGGAGCCCCTAGTAGCGAACTTGCTCCTAGTAGTAAGGCCAGGAGCTCCTACTAGCTTCTTGTACCTACTAGCGATGCCCTTGCTCCTAGTAGCGATCCCAGCACCCCTAGTAGCGTCCTTGCTCCTAGTAGTAAGGCCAGGAGCCCCTAATAGCTTCTTGTTACTAGTAGCGATGCCCTTGCTCCTAGTACCGATGCCACAAGCCCCTACTACCGTCCCTGCTCCTAGTAATAAGGCCAGGAGCCCCTAGTAGCTACTGGTTAGTAGTAGCGATGCCCTTGCTCCTAGTAGCGCTCAGGAGCCCCTACTACCGTCCTTGCTCCCAGTAGCAAGGCCCGGAGCCCCTAGTAGCTTCTTGTTACTAGTAGCGATGCCCTTGCTCCT